TGCTTGTGGGGGCGGCTCCCATCCCCCACCAGCCTGAAACCCCCAGCTAAGGGTGTTCCAGGCATGTCTCCTCCAGGTGTGCCCCCCTCCAGGTGTGCCCCCTCCAGGTGTGCCCCCTCCAGGTGTGCCCCCTTCCAGGTGTGTCCCCTCCAGGTGTGCCCCCTCCGGGCATGGCACGGCCCTGCACATGCCCTGTGTTTGAGGAGCCCGGGGGCACAACTGCAGAGGCCTGGGGTCTGCCAGCAGAAGGTGGCAGGAGCAGCCCGGAATTTAGGGACTCTGGATGGGGTAGGGGCTATTTGTATGTGGCAGGCAAGGCTGGACCAGAAGCTGCAGGCCTAGGTGACACCTGGGGGACACTAGTTAGCTTCTGGGTAAGCAGAAAGCAGAGTGGAGACACTTGTGGGTGAGAGGGTTTGGGGAACCCCCTGTGGGTGGAGTTCCTGAACAGGACCCAGCACCCGTCTTTGGTGGTGGGACCATTCAAGCTCTTGGTCAGAGCACAATCAGGTTGGGGCGCTGGGCCCCCGCTGAGGCAGGTGGGCCCCAAGAAGGAACACCTGGGCGATCAGGAGGAAGGGCGCCCTGGGGGAGGCTGGTCGGCTCCCCCTGCAGCCCTGGCCACGTGCTCAACTCCTGTCCATCTGTCCACCACCTGTGGGGCGGGCCCAGGCCCAGGCCCTGGTGCGGGACAGTGTGAGGAGGGCTGGCCAGCGGGGTGGCCACCCGGGCAGGGGCTGGCTGAGGACCAGCCTTACAGAATGGGCTCCTCCTCCACTTCCAGGAGGGAACACTGTCACCAAGAAGCCCTGGGCGAGCGTTCGGGGGAGTAGGCTCCGGGGGTGGGTCCACCTGGAGGCAGGCACACATGGGCGGCATCATGCCTGAAGGGGGACACACCTGAGGTCACACCTGGAGGCCACCACATCTGGAGGAAGACACACCTGAAGGCTACTGGGCCTGGGAGTAGATGCACCTGGAGGCGGCCACACCTGGTGGAGGCCACGCCTGCAGGCCACTGCTCACAGCAGGTTTGCTCAGGGCTGTTGGTGCCTCCCTGAGCTGGTGGTGGTGTTGGGAGGGTGGCTTCGCTGCACTAGAGCTGTCACTGGGACCCCCAGTCAGGGCTGGGGAGCCTCACCACCAGCCACGCCACCTCCCAAGTCCTTTCTCAGCCCTGATGCCTCCCTTCTCCCTCAGTGAAGTTCACCGGCTCAGAGGTTAGAAAAGCACACAGATTTATTGCATATCAATCTCATGTATAAATTCATTGTAGCATCGGAAAGATTACATTTGGTACACAGTCCTAGTCTACCGCATTGACCTCAAAATCAGCTCTGCCTGGGCTTCACCTCGAAGACGTTTCTCTACACAAGTACTCGTCACAAGCATCGAAATGAAATCCGTGGGGACGCTCTCCCAGTGACTTCCCACACGCCGTGTCTGTCTGTCATTCTGCTCCCACCGCGATTTCCACATGAATTAAGAGCTGCATCTCCTTTGTGCTGGAAGCTCAGGACTCCTGGTCTTGAGGACATAGACCCTAATCACATGTGTAATAAGTGCATCTACGGAGTTTTCCTTTCCATAAAAATTTCACGAACAGACACGGTAATGACTGCTAAACACGAGTCATGCACAGTTTACTGATAACAGAAGCAATTTACAATCAGGGGACATGGGACAAACACCAGCCTCCCTCTCAATGGTTTTTTTTTTAAAACATTATATGAAAACCAGACATTTACATTTGATTTCTTTTCAACACTATACAGTTCTAAAAGGAAAACAAAAAAAACCAAAAAAACTAAACCCAATCTGTAAGGTAACAATGGCAAAAGGATGACGTGATGCACCGGTTTGGGGTCTTGCTGGCGTGTTCACGGCCGTGAGCTTTAAAGGACATATCCTGACAGCGGGGGCTCGGGCCCCCTCGTCTTGAAGAGGACACTGGTGCCGCGAAATGCGCTGAGGAAAACCTTCCGAATTGCTTTGTTCAGAAGTGAATTGCACAGTTGGGAACTCAAGCTGCCTTTTCATTTTGTTCTTTTTTTTTTTTTTCTTCCAAAAGTGGTAATGCAAATCCGAGCCAGAAAGGAATACAACAGGAAAACTGGAATGAAGGAGTAAAGGAACGTCCTTGGAATAACGCAAGAATGTCTTAGTCACAGTATCACTCATTGCTACAGACACAGTTTCATGGCTTTTGATACCCGGCTGACCTCCACTGACCAGGAGCAGCTGTGTCCTCGTATCCCCCAGCTGGGATGGGGGAGAGGTGCCCGGCTTCCCGTCTGTCCGTCCCTCCGGGTGGCAGTGCAGGGGTGCGCTCTCCTGTGGCACCGCCCCCCCTCCGGACAACACAGTGAATACAGCTCAGTAGATTTCAGTCACTTGGGCAGGGGGATGGGGACAGGGGCAGGGGGGCCACGATCCAGTGCTTCAAGGCTTCGAGGCTAACATACGTGATATGTATTTCGGCAAGTGCTTTGCGAATGCTCAGAGGAAGCAGCTAGGACAGAGGGCCGGGCTCTGGGGCCATGGAGCTGCTGTGCCAGCCAGGGACTGGGCAGGCAGGCTGCAGCCCCGTCCCTGCACAGGGGTGGCCACGTGGCTGGGCGGTCTCTCAGGCGCACCCCATCCACACACCTCCGCTCCAGGGTGCCAGGCTGGCTGCAGGAATGTGTGCCTCTGGGTTTGAATGGGGGGGGCTCTGGGTACCACTCATGAAGGGTCTGGCTGTCCAAAGGATCAGCAGCCCATGTGTCCTGCCCGACGGCCCCAGGAATGAGAGCAGCAGTGCGGGGAGCATGTCTGAGCGGCAGACGGAAGTGCGGGGAGGCCTGCTTTGAATTTCCATTTGGGGGTGTCAAATGAGGGAAGCACCTGAGGTTTGCCCCGGGCCTGGGCAAACCTGGCACAGTGGGGCCCGTGGGTTACAGTGGGACCCATGGTCATAGCGGTCAGCCAGCCAGCCAGCTGCCCTGCTGCATTCGTGCTCTGAGCCTGGGATCTCGGAAGTCTCTCGCCAGGCCCAGGTTCCCTGGCCCCCAGGGGTCTCCTAGCACTTGGTGGCATCAGCGTCAAAGACGCTGGGCCTGCGTGAGCCAGGCCGGGCTGGTGCTGGAGCCCAGGGGCCGAGAAGGACCAGGGAGGGTGCCTTGCTGTGGTCTGGGGCACGCTAAGCTCAGCGTCCAAGGACAGACTCCCCTAAACCTGCCAAGTGCTCAGGCCCGAGAGGCTGAATGTTTAGGAGAAACTGGGCTTCTCTAAATCGTTTTCAGGGGGACAAAAATATAGGCCTTAAAATGTGCAACTGGGGCTTCTGGGGGAGGAGGGGTTGGAAGAAAAGAAGGACAGAGAAGCGATAACGCTTAGGAGGATCGGCCGACAATGACAGAATGTGACAGTCAACAGAGCGACCCGAGGGGACAGCAAGGGCAGCCCTCGTCTGCCCTGCAACGGCCGGAAACAGCCACTTAGGTGCCCATTTTAGGTAGAGAGAGTCATATAGCAAAAAAAAGCAGACGCCTTATTTTTTAGCAGAAGAAATCTTATAATTTGGGTTTACAGAAACGGGGGTTTGGATCTGAGGTTGACTTTTCAAAGGGATCCCACTTAGATCAAGGGGATGTGGACATCCCTAGCCGTGCCGGTGGGCCTGGCTGAGGGCAGGTGTGAACGGTTAGGTTTGCAAATCCTTCTGGACGAGGCCCCGGGGGTGACAGTCCAGCCTGCACACGTGTAAGCGGCCTTAGCACGTGCCAGGGCTGCTCTCAGTCTTGCGCCTCATGTGGATTTGAGAAAGGGGCTGAAGCCCTTCCACTGGGGTCCGCGGCTGGGGGCGCCCTCAGGGGCCTCCCCACGTGGGTCTCTAGGGCGAGGCTGGATGCCCTGGCGCCCACGCTGACGACTGTGACCCGAGCCGCGGGATGCGCACGTGGGACTGGCTGCTTGGACACTTCCCGCCGCCCCGGGCCAGGCTGAGGACACGTTCACCCCGAGACGCCATCCATATCAGTTTGATTCACACTCTTTTTTAAGGGCAACTTGGGCGATTTTTTCCCCTCTCGTTGGGAGATTATTACTTTTTTCTTCCAAACAATAAAAGAAATAAATAGAACACTTGTCGTAAATGCAACTGAAACTCAAAATTTAACAAAAACACATGATTGTCTGGAAAGCGGGCAGCAGTGACAGCAGGATGGGCGGGGGGAGGCGCAGGGGGTATTTGGCACAAGTCGCCGCTCCCTGGTTATCGGTCACACAACACACAACCTTATCACACGGTTTTGGTCCTTCACTAGATACTTATATTAACATCATTTCTTCACAATAAGAATGTCTAATGCCAAAAATACTGTTAAGGAAGAAATAAAATAAGAAAAGAAATGAATTAGAAAAAATTACAAGTTATATACAGATTAAGGTAAATTCCATCAGGGAAAAAAAATTATTTGAACTTGGCCCCTACGGGAATAATTTAAAGCCCATTGAGTGCAGGAGCAGACTGGTCCCCAGGGAAGGCGGCGTGTCCCCAATGGGCCTGTGCTGTCTTGGCTCGTGGTGGCAGGTCCCCAGGTCCTGTCTGGACGCCCTTCCGTCCTGGAGCCGGTCCCGCCTGCCGAGAACCCACACGAAGAGCGGGAGTGGCACTTGGGTCCTGGGTCCTGGTCTCAGGCACGTGGAGCGTGGCACCCGGAGCAGGGCAGGGGCTTCCGTCCCCTTGTCCGTCTGACGGCGGTGGGTGAGGGTGGGGGCTAGACGTCCGGATGTGGCGAGCAGGCCCTGCCTTCTGAAGAGTGGCAGTGGGGCTGGCACAGGGGTGGCCGAGGCACAGACCGTGGGGGGAGGGACATCAGGTGCCCGGCCCACCTCTGCGCTGGAGACCGGAGCCCCCACTCCGACCTTCCCCGTATAATTGGGGGGCCTTAGGAGGAGCCACAGCCATGAATCGCGTGTCACGCAACGACAGGCACATCTCCCAGTCCCGGCCTCGGGCATCCTAGGGCACCGTACTGGCCCAGTCCGACACGGCTCACAGGAGAGGGCCCTCGCCCCCCGGTTCTGCCTTGGGGGACCCAGAATCACCTTGGCTTTACAAACAGGGTCAGGGATAGAAAATTTCTCCATTATCTACAGTATAAAGAACGCACCCAACACGGGGCCGGTTCCCAGGCAGGCGTGGGTCTGCAAATAAACTGAGATTTGAAAGCAATGCAAAATTACTTTTAAAAAACAATTTGCAAGTCATTTTTCATTTTTTTTTTAAAAAATACTGTCTATTTTTAAAACCACATGCTTAAATAGACTCTGTCGTCAATAAGATTACCAAAAGGGTTCTTCTTGTCCTTCTCATTATAAAAACTGTTTGGGCCGTCTCCTCTGAGCGCACCGTGTGTGCACCCCCTCCAGGCCCAGGCTCAGCTTGGGGTTAAAATCCTGCCTTTGCCCACCGGGCTGATTCTGCGAGGCTGTTCCCGCGAGCTGTGCCTCCTGGAATGAAGTTCTTGAGACCAATTCTTAGAGACGGTGAACTCGATCAGTGTTCCCGGAGCTTCCGGTTTCTGAGTTTTTGTTGGAAAAGCTAGAGCTGATCCGTGGTGGGGAGGACGGACACGGAGGAGTGGTCAAACGCAGGTGACAGGGGTGTCCTGGCCCCAGGCCACGCCAGCTCCCCGAGGCCCTCGCCTCCATCTTCCACAGCTGGGATTCTGTCGGGACGTGGGGCCCGAGGTTGCCTCCTGGGCCCGTCAGAGGTGGTTGATGGGGTTAAAGGCTCCGGACTCGGGGGTGGCTCCCGTGCTGTTCATCCAAGCGTCCAGGGGGCTCTGGGAGGGGGCGTGGAGAGCAGCGTCCTCAGAAAGGGACAGCATCATTGCGTACGCCTGGCGGGGAGAGGACACAGGACACACAGGACGGGCAGGTGAGCAGCGCCGGGGTCCGGCTGGCCCTGGGCCAGCTCTGTCCTCGCCCCTTCCCGGCCTCCACTGCCCCCTGGCTGGGCTCAGATCCAGACGGGAGGAGGGGAGCAAAGGTGCTAGGGGTGGGGGGCGATGGCGGTGGTTGGGGGGGGGTGCTGGGCCAGAGAGGCTGGAAGAGGGAGAAGGGTGGGCCGGCAGAGCAGAGGCGGGAGGGACCTGCTGGCTTGTGCGCAGAGGGGACCCAGGACACCAGGGCCAGCACTGGGGCTTCCCTTGGCTTCTTTGGGGTGCTCACCCCTGCAGTCACCTCCCCACCCCACTTTTCTCTGCGTGGTGATCAGCAAACGCTTTGGGAGGGCCTGGGAATCGCTGGTGCTCATTGCTAAGACCCCGTGCACAAGTCACTCCCTGCCCGGGGGGCACCTGGTGGATCACTATGGTGACAACGCACAACTACTTTGGGAAACACATGCAGCGTTTCTGAGCCCAGAGCATGGCTCAGACTGGCCACAGGGCACAAGGTGCCAGGGCTGGGGCCGCTCGCAGCTGGCAGGGTGGTGGGCAAGCCCCGCCCGCATCCCACCCGAGTTAACACTCTGGACAGAATTAGTAGAGAGACACAGACAGACACGCAGACGTTTTGCTGAGACTCAGGGTGGGCTGAAGATTGCTGGGTGTGGCCCCCTGCCCTTCAGACCTGAGGGGACCCGGAGGCGGGGTCCTGCGCCCGCCTACACCAAGGATTAGACAGACTGGGAGTGCCTGGGGCCACGCTGGCCCATCACAGCCCCAGCGTGGAGTCTGCCCGCCTAACGGGAAACTCGTGGGCTGCAAGTCATTCTCGCAGGGTCACAAAGGCAGATGGGCCAAGGCAGCCCGCAGGCTGAAAACCCGCTCGGGGACACCTCCCTCTGGGGGTGAGAGGACAGTGGCCCTGTGTCTCGCGTGCCTCTGCTCTTAACCTCTGCCTGCCTCACCCCTGCTTGCAGGGAAGCGACGGTTATCTGGGCGTCTCTCTAGCTGATGCAATGGGCATGAGAGAGCCAGTGGGTCCTGGGTGTCCCCCAGGCAGGCATGGGGTGGCCACGTGAGAGGTGGGCTGCCCCAGGCAGCTGTCCAGCCTGGGGGTGTGGAGGCGCAGGCTCTGTGGGTACCTACCTGGTTCTTAGCCTGCCTGTACAGTGTCTGTTTTAAAGCCTCAGAGTCTAAGGTGGAATTAAGCACATCTTTAACTTCAAACGCTGCCTCAGCTGCGCTGCGGAGGTCCAGCCCCTTCCCAAAAGTCGGCATCGGCTCCAAAGCTAAGAGGCCACCTGGTGACTGCTGAACACACCTGCACCAACACCGGAGAGCCTGGCGTTAGCTGGTCTGGCCCCCAGCCGCCTCTCTATGCCCCAGGCCAGCTCTCTGCCTGCATGCACGCCACGGCGTCTCCGCGAGTCACATGCACAAGGACACGGACACACAGACACTGGACAGAAACACACGGATGCAGGAAACTGACGGACAGAGAGCCATGGAGGGGCGAGTTACGTGCACACGTGCTGCAAGCAGCAGGCAGGGCCCCCAGGTCTCTGGGGACAAGGACAGATGGCGAGCCCTCGGTTCCCGATACTGGGCAGCTCTGGGGGGTCCGGGCTCCCAGTCCCAGGACCCAGGGGCAGAGGAAACGGCCATCTCCCAGGGGCCTCCCCAGGGACTCTTGGAAAGCTGGCAGCATCTCCAATGCTGAAAGTAGGCTGTGAGCAGCCAGGATGCAGGGCAGTGGCTCTGGCTGGCACAACTGCCCAAACTGTGGGTGTTCAGCCCCCCGGGCACCACAAGACCCGTGGGAGGCTGGACATCACTCCCTGGGGCGAGAGGCCGTGTGCAGCTGGGCCAGAGACGCCTGTGGATCCCGGACGGCTCCCTCCCTGCTGCCCCTCCCACACTCTGCTCTCGGATCTCAGGAAATGCGTGAGTGCGTGTCCGTGCGTGTGCGTGTGTGCGGTGAGCGGGCTGGTCCCTGGCCCCGTTTCCAGGCCCCGCATCACCCTGTCCTGCACACAAAAGCTCCCGTGGCAGAAACGCCCGTGGGGGAGGGTGACCCAACCAGGATGTCCGTTCTCTGCTGGTTTGAGCACGAGTCCCTGGCGTGGCCCGGAGGCCGGCACCCACCTTCGGCTATGGTCGAAGCCCACGGCCAGGGAGGCGGGCGGCTCCTCGTCCTCCTCATCCTCATAGGCGCCCTGGGGCTCGGGCGTGGGGGACACGGCGTCGTCCTGGGACTTGCCCGCCAGGCTGTCATCGTCTTCTTCCTCCAGCTCGTCCTCCTCCTCCTCCTCGCCGTCCTCCGGCTTCCCGCTGGCGAGGCCCGGACACTGCGGGGCGCCGTCGAGGTCCTGGACCTCTGGCCTGGAACGACACGGGAGGGAGCTGACCACGGCCCCCGAAGGCCGGCGACGCAGCTCCGGTCGGCCATTTCCTCACCAACTCCCCCAGCCCTCCCAGCTCCCTCCGAAGACAGCCTGCCTTTGCGGTCATAAAAAAGCCTGGTGGTGACACGGGTGCTGTGGTCCTGGGCCACTGTCCCTGTGGGGTGAGTGATTCAAAGAGAAAAGATGGCCGCTGAACGGGTGGCAGGGGAAAGGCAGGGGCCACCATCAGCAGGGCTCTTGTCATGCCAGAGCGGACGCTGGCCGTTCGGGCAGGTGTGCGTGTGAGGGAAGGCCAGCCTGGCAGGGGAGGGGTCCTGGGTGCTGGAGCTGGGGTTGGGCACTGCACAAGGGGAGCCCCTGGGAAGGCGGCTCCGTGTGGGGGAGGCCCGCTCTCCTTCTGGCCTCGAGGACACAAGGACACGGGGCGGCCGAGGACGAGGGGCCCCCACTGCAGGTGGAGTGTCTGGGCCCCAGGGTTCTGCCGTCAGGGCTGGGCGGTGGTCAGCAACGGAGCCGCCAGGACGAGTTCACTGCAGACGCACATCCCTTGACTTGGAGACCTTCCCGTTTCCTTCAGAAAAGCCACCCGCATGTGTTCAGCTCTTTGGCAAGTCTGTGACGACGGCGGGCTGGGCCCGAGTGAAGGCCGCCTGGGCAAGTGTCCCCCACACGGGCGGCGGGACAGGCAGGACGAGGCACATGCTTGCTGAGCTCCCGTCTGGACTGAGCTCTGAGCCCCCAGGCCTGGCTCCTCCTGGCATCATACGGCCCACAGGAACCCGGCCACTGCTGTCAGGGGAGGCACTGGGTCCTGCTCTCGGCATCAGGCGGGGGCAGCGTCCCCTCCAATGGCCGCCGACTGCCAAACCTGGGCCTCACCGAGGACTCGTCCTTGTGCAGAGGGACTGGGCCGGGGACCCCGGCCACTAGGCTCTCAGCCTGCCTGTTCTCATGTGTCATCTTTCCGTGAGCAAGTACAGAGACGGTGACAGCGGACCTGCCTTCCAGGAGGGGCCGGACCTGGCTCGCTTCCCTCGTCACTGTCACCTACGCTGGGCACCGGCCACACATCTGTTACCACCAGCACTGAGAGTCTGGAGCCAGACGACAAGCGCCGGGACCAGTCCTGTCTCCCTCCCTGACCCTTGGTGGGGTGACCTGTGCCCTCTCAGGACTGTGAGAACACCCCACGCTGAGGAGCGGATGAACGTGCGGCGGCTGCGGTGCTGGCACTCGAGCGCAGTCTTCTATCTAAGCCCCCTCACCCTGGCCCCAAGAGCATCTGCCCGTTGGCAGGAGGCTGCATCAGGCACAAGTGCTCAGTGGCTGGGGCCTGCGGGCTAGGGGCGGCTTTACACAGAGGGACACCGGACGAGTGTCCAGACCTCCAAGCAGCTGCCTGGGCACAGCGAGTGTCCTGGGGCCAAAGTCACACAGCCCCACCTGGGCTTCAGCAACAGGACTCTTTTCTCCAGGTCCTGGGGCCCGAAGTCCGAGCTGCAGGTGTCACAGGTCCGTCCCTCTGAGGCCGTGAGGGAGAACCCGCCCCAGGCCTCTCCCTGCTCCTGGTGGCTGCTGGCGGCCTCGTTGTTCCGTGGCTCGTAGACGCATCACGCCGTCTCTGCTTCGTCTTCAC